TGGAGAAAGAAAGCATCCACTAAATTTGGAGCCACCATTTTTGCTTGTCTCTTTGCTCTCTTTTCTAGTAATATGATACTCTCGTACACTATATTTCTAAAAAGTTTATAATAAATTTTATTAGAATTAGCTGGTAGGATGACTCGTTATAATTTTATAATAAAATGAATATGAAGTTCTACAATTAATTTATATTTATAAATTTTGCGATCAAATTGTTTAAAATAAAAATTTTAAGATTAATTTATAATAAATTTTTTGATATTTTTATTTATTGAAATTTTGTCATTTATAAATTATATATGGTGAAAAAAATGAACGAAAAAAGAGAACGGAAACTTCCTTGAGTGATAGAAAGCTGTAATCGCCTTAGTAGCGGAATGATAATCGGGTAAAGATCTCTATCTTTACCTGGTTTTAACCTAATTGTATAATTTATCTCTTTTAATCTTCTATTGATCCATACCTTTTACCCCTTCTAGGCTAGATCCTAAGTGGGTTGTTAAATATCTGAGTATAGCAAAAAAGTGGAGACAATAAAGGACAGCTTACCTGCATACATACATTTTTCATGTATATATATATATGTGTGTGTGTGTGTGTATTTACATGTTGCATGATGAGCTTTATGAGCATTTGCAAAAGGGAAAAAGGGAAAAGGGGAAAAGGTAGCATAGATATGTGATGTTTTGGTTTAATGGGGGTGTAATTTTCGTACTTCCTTTGAAGACTTTTTTCTTATTCAGCCTGCAAAAACTATTTGAAAATAAACATATTTTAATTCCCTAATAAACCCATTTTACAACACGAACATGCCATGTTCCAGCATTTATTATATATATATATATATATTACGACTATATCCCACCTTCAATGCCTATTTTTTTTTTAATAAAAAAAAAATTATGATTAATAAATAGAACTATTTCTTAATTGCTTATAAAAAAAAAAAAAAACTTTATAATATTATTTAGAATATTTAAAAAATAAAATAAAATTAGAGAAGAAGAAGACGAAGAAGAAAAAAAAAAAAAAAACCTTTATTTATCGCGAAAGGTCATAATATCGTTTTAATGCGGTTTTCATTTTGTCGTCCCCAATATCTTCGACATCCGGCGAAACCGGATCACGAAATCTCCACAAAAAAAAAAAAACAAACTAACTAATCAAGATCAATCCTGGCCGTACACGTGGCCGTTGATTCATTGGCTTTCGTCTTTACACGTAACCGCTGTGTCAACCTAAAACGACGGTTTGAGAAGCCACAAGAGTTAAGAAAGACGAAAAAATTAAAAACAAGTGGGCCTCACCGCACGAAGGGGCCACGTCATCAAATCTCTGTCTGTTTACGCACCGTGACTTTTCTTCATAATAAATAATAATTTTTTTTTTCACCATTAAAATATGGTAATTGACACGTAAGAAAATAATTTTGTCCGTATTTTTTAATTGCATAATTCCAAAAAAAAAAAAATTTATTTATTTTCAAGTACATAATCCAAAAAATTATTGTGTTGTTTGTAGTACTTTTTGTCTTCAAACCAAGAGTTAATTAAATTTAAAATGAGTACTTATCTCTAATTTGTGTGTATTATTAGCACACTAATTTTTATTTAAAAATATATATTTTTTTAGTTATATTAAATATTAAAATTACAGCACTTGGTTGTTGACTGGGTTATTCTTGGATCTTGTGTAGAACATTCAATACCCATTTTAACAGCCTTGTTGGATTCAGCACTTTATGTTGAATTTTTCTTGCCTTCTAAGTGTATTGGGTAAGGTGAATTAATTAATTAATTAAATTAATTAAACCCATTAGGCTTGTTATTGGGACTTCAACTAATCAATGCCCATTTATCACAATCTCTTACTCATTCATTTATGAATTCTCTCATTAAAAACTTGTCTTTAAGGAAGTGTGGAGTACATTTTCTTAATTAAATGTCTCTTTTATAACCATAAATAAGCACATATATGAAATGAAAACATTATTTACAATAAACAAGAAAGAAAATTAATCGTTACTTACTCAACGTGGTCAGTATAATCTCATCAATACGTTAATTAGTTAAATATCATAAATTTAATAAACGTAAAAAAAGTATTTAATTTAATTCTATTATTTTGATTTTATTAAATTAAATATTATAAATATTACATAAAATTATTAGAAATTAAATTTTTTTTTTTTTTTTTTTGGGTTACAAATTATTATGTCAATTGCACTACCTAAATATTGTCATATTGTGAAAGGTAAATGAAAAAGACAAAAAGTGTTTATCCCAAAGAAGAGAAAACCAGATCCCATGAAATTAGGGTTGGAGCTGAAAACAAAGAGAGAAAAATTAATTTCAGAGAAAGTGATAAATAAAATATGCTTTGAAATATGTTCTTTTTTTTTTTTTTTTTTTTGGTCTTTAAATTTTTTTGTCTCTTGGTTTTTCTCCATGCCTTGGCCCTAACTTCCAAGTCATTGACTCTTTGACTATATATTTAATTTTCACATAACATATTCCATTACATTTAGTGGGTATCCATAGTATATATCTATATGTGTGTGTGTGTGTGTATATATATTACACTCACTAATGGGTTTTATCAAATGTAATTTAATTTTTCTTTTTTCCAAAATTCAATTCATTGTCTAATTACATGATTAATTTTTTTCTTTTGGGGGGGTTGGGGGGGGGGGTAAATTATAATTTAATTTTGTGATTTTTTAAATTAACTACGTGATTTAATTTCTATTAAAAGAGTATTATTTAGTAAGCCTCTAGTCAATTTTTTTTTTTCAAATTTAATTTATTTTTTTGCCAATTTTCTTACATATTTGCCTCTAAAAATCCACATACTTGTAAAAAAAATTTACATAAAAGAATAAAAAATAAACTATAAGTGTTAAAAACAGTAACCCAATAAAATTAAATCATTGAAGTCATACCTTATCTTAATTTTGATTATACTAAAAAAAAAAATTCAAAATTTCAACAATTTAATATCAAAATTGAATTACAAACAATTATGTTTGACATAGATCAATCACACATGGAATAAATCATAATTGACAGGATTAAAAAGATTTTTTACTTAAAAAATTGAGTATTATTTACACACACACATATATATATATATATAACTACAAGACAAAAATAAAAAAAAATTTTTAAAAGTGAATAAAATTGGGGTAAAGTAAAGTCAAATAGGAGCTAAGCAAGGAAGGGAGGGCCCGACCAACGAAACGGCGACAGAAAAGGGAACGGCACGTGGGGGCCATTTCTTCCTGCTAAATGGGTCCCACCCTCACGTGTGCTTGTTTCGATTACTTACCTAATCTCCTCTCTTTAAATAATAGTTTTATATATATATATATTATTAAAATAATAATAATTAATTAATTAATATTTTTAATTTAAATATAAGAGAAGATTCAATTATAATTATATTAATATATTAAAATTTAATTTTATTAGCACTGGGTATTGGCGGTATATATAATATTGTCTCAGTTAATGTTTTTCAGAGTCTTTTATATACATATACATATATATATATATATATATATATACACACGAAGATGAAGTTAGACAAAAATTTAATGGGATTTGCAAAATAGAAATAAAAAAGCGATATACAAAAATTCAAAACCCTAAAAACCAAACCTAACAGACCAGACCAGACCAGACCAGACCAGACCCAGTTTGCACGTCGAAGACAACAGAGACACAGTCAAGCTTGCTTTCATGTTTTCCGGATAATTCTTCAGATCCCGAAAAATATTTATTTCTTATTATATATTTCATGTGATTCAATTAAATAATTTGATCATTAGGATAGCTGGATTTATTAATTACATATTTGATACTAAATAATTATTAAAAAAATAATAATAATTCTGTTCTTATTAATGCTTGAAGTTTGTTTTATTATAACTGAGTAAAAATCAAAGGGTTATTTGTCTGTTGTTTCAAGTAAAACCAGCTCCAAGCTCGGCAATCAACTCATTCCGGCAATGACGGGAAAAACCTAAAACCATTCCGATCCGGTTATTTCGAAGTTTTTCCGTATCATTATTTCCCCGGATTGGACGAGAATTCTTCGACAGGTTCGGAGAAAGATTAAGAGAAAGATAGATCATACACCATACTGAGAGTCGTACGAAATCGGATGAAGATAGGTAAGAGAATATAAGCTCATGCCTACGCCATTTTTCCCCGACAAGGCGAGAAATTTCTTACAATTGCTGAGCAAGACAAGTAAAACCCACAAAAGTTCGGATAGAATCACATCCGGACCGATGTAAGAATCGGGAAGGAAGATATTGAAAGACAGGTGGAAAAGCAGATTAACTATGTGTTTAAAAAGGTACATTTGCACTTGCAAATACACACAAGGTTTTTTAAGACTCAAAACAAATACTAGTAGAAATCAACACCAACAGAAAAAGGTAGGAGTTCTGTCCATTATACATCTTCCAAGTTATATCAACCAAACAACAGAAAAACTCTTTGATAATTCTCAATTCTCTGGTTTCTGCTGTTGGCTGCCACTAGATATCAAACCAATATTCTCAATGGACCCGTCTTATTGGGCGAATCTAGTGCACTTTCAGCATTCCGAATCCCTGTGATCCATGCCCTGAAAGACAAATTCAACTATTAGTGCCGCTGCCTTTATTGTCCCTTCGATGACCAAGGTTTCCAATCAAACCTAACAAAAGAAAAGATTGAAGATGTTTACTTTCTTACCCATAGTTTCACTGCCCGAACCCATTTTAATAGTCAGTCGTTTGGCTGTTTTCATAAAATCACTGCAAAACAGAGAATGAGAAAGATTGATGGTGGGTGAGAACATAAACCGAAGACTGCAGCACCTACCTAGAAGCCAATTTCAGGGGCGCAAAAAAGTTGACTCTCAAAAGTAGTACCTGAATGGTTCATCTCCGGTTTGTTTAAGAGCACCAGTTGCATCCCGGTAGAGCACGTGGGTTAATATCTCGGATCTTTCTATGCCAAACATGTTGGCCAATCTTCCGTATAGTTCTTCATAAGAATTAAGAACAGAGAGGTCAAGAGTCCGGCCAACATCCTCGGTCTCCATGAACACTTTGCAGTGACCGGTATCAAGGCCAGATTCGGTGGTTTGAAAGCTCTGGTGCCATGAGAATCCAGCGGGTGCAAACCTTTCGGGGGAAACTCGATCCCTAGAAGTAGATTGCAAAGAAAGCTCTTTAATTTTTTCCTTGCTCTCTTCTAATAAACTTCTCGAAGTGACTGTTGTATCAATAGAAACCTGCTGCTCTGTGAGTATTGGCTGACCAAAGAGTACGAACTGGTGTCTCTTCGTCTTATCAGATTTCTCCGAATTACAACTAGAATTACCTATCGTTAACAAGCAAGACAAATTCTCATTGTTGCCTTCCGTGTGCCCTGTTGTTCTGACACTATCATAAGTTCTAGAGTGTTGATCTAACCGCTGGAAGCTAGAAAGAAACAGCCCTGATTGTAGCTTGTTATTAAGATGGAGATCTGATAAAGATATTCCAAATTGAGCTTGCCTGGCTCCCTGTATGCCTGCAGGAGTGTTATCGGATAGATAACACAACGGGCTGCCAGGCCCAAGGGGGGTTGCCTGTAAATAAACGGCAATGCAATCTAACCGTTGCCCATCATGGGGGAATTCCAAAGGTTGCGGGAGAACGCAACTTTTTCCGCGGAGGTGAGAATGGTGAGAGATGGATGGTGGGCATGTTTGATACCAATTCCACCAGCCATGGACTCACACGCTTCACATTCTGTAGTAAATCCGGCTCATCCCATGCCACCTGAAATACTACCAATGACGAAAATCAGATGGAAGAACAGATTATCACACTAACCGGATATTACTTACAGAAGAATCAAAACCCCTAAACAGTGTTCGAATCCAGAATCAAGGGGTTTACAAAGTTTTCGGATTCAAGAATAGAATGATCTAACAAAAGATATGGACAATGCAACATTTGACAAAACTTGAACATCTACTCTGACAAATTTAGCTCAAAAGGGTGATAGAATAATTAGTCACCAAAAAGCCATAAACTTTGCATGTAGCAAGAAATCACACAGACTGTCTAAATTCCTAATCTAGGACATGAAATTTTCTCCGTAGAATCCCAATTTCGAGCCCAAGGAAACAACATTGAGTGAAAAACATAAGCATATGTTACTTAAATCACCTAGTCTCAAGAAATTCTGCTAAAGAAATGAATCAATGTTGATCATATTGAATCGGAAACAATCATAATCCTCCATCACTTAGTCATAAACTAATGTTTTCATGTTCTTTGATTGAAACCCTAACAGCCAGGCAAAGCATTGTGGACTATTAAACAGATAAAACCCACAACTGAAAAAATCAGAGAGAGATATATATATATATATATATATGTATCTATGTATGTACTGGACCTGGAGAAGGCGCCATGGCGAGTTGGGAAAGCGGATAGGGTCAGCAACCTGAACAAAGGAAACAGTCCCCATGAACCAGCTGATCCTGGAAGAATCCTCAGTCTCAAAAGCCATCTTGAACCTCATACCAGAGCACCAATGGATTCTCATGGCGGCTTTAACAGCCGATGCTTTCACAAAAAACTCCGGCGTGCTTGCTCTCGGATAATAAACTACCTCAAATGGCTGCCCTGCAGCCGCCAGAGCAACCGCTTCCACTACCGATTCCGGCCTCAGTTTCCCTCTAAAGCTTCCATTTCCATTTCTTAACATCTTGCTCTCTTCATTTCCTCTCAAAAACGCCGAAAACCCACCAAATGGGGTACAGTTTCCCTGACCGGTGCTCCAGCCAGAGGAAGAAGAAGACGGGGAAATCATCTCCGGTCCACTACCAACCCCACGTTTGGCTCTCCGGATTCCCACGCAGAGATCACCGTTTTCCGCTCGTAAAAACACGATGGAGTCGCCGGCGACGAGTTTCTTCTGGTTAACGAAAGTGCTCCACCCGGTGGTCAACAGATGCCTCCTCGGAGTCCCTCTGTAGATGTGTCTAAACTTCCATGTTTCTCCATGAATGTCCTTTGCGATCACCGTCTGAACCGGAGGATCCGCCGTGTAATCCAGCCGGGGGAATATTGTTTCCGCGCAGTACCGGGGAACGGAGAATCCCCCGCCATTATTGGCGTCGGATTGAGTTAGGGTCTTGGCGAAAGAAGCCGGTTTCTCCGGATTATCCGACCCGAAAACCACGTTGTCGTCGAAATCAACCTCGCTGTTCGGTAGTGGGATCAGTCTGATCTTGGCGTAAACCTCGTCTGTCTCGGTGTCGGCGAGGAATTTGACGGCGGCCACCCGGCATAGAACGGAGGAAGGAATTCGCGGCGAGGATGAGAAATCGACGGCGGTGGCCTGAGCGTGCTCGGCATGGCCTTGTGGGAAGTAGAAGACGATGGAGTTTACAGCAGGGATTTGAACCATGGATCCTGCACATGCATGCCATAGTTGAGGATCCAAGCTTTTCTCTTGTTCCTTCATCGGATTTTTTTGAGTCCTGGATTTTGGTTGACTGGCGAGAAGATAAAGAAAGCGAGACTGATCTGATTGAACGAAATTTGAAAAGGGTGTTTTCCTTCCTTTTTACTCTCTTCACTCCTCCATTGGTGGGTCGTAGTCAAGCTTTCAAGACTCTGATTAACAGAACAAAATGGTGTATATACTGAAGTTCTTTGACTATTTTTAAAAATCAAAACTTCACAAAAACCAAACAAGTTTCACACAGTCCTCCATCATCACATGACAATTCTTTCAAATTGGGTTACAGGATTTACAGTGAAAACAACAAATTTGGTAAGGTTAAAAATTAAAAAAAAAAAAAGCCAAAACCAAAAAGAAAAAACAGAAAGAGAGATTTTCAATGGAGACAGACACTGATAAATTCATTCACCAGATACCAAACCCCGAACTCTTTCTTCTTCTTCTTCTTCTTTCAAAACAAGTAACCGACAAGAGGTAATAAAAAAAAAAGAAAAGAAAGAAGTCTGCTTTCACTTCTGATTTCACCCAAAAGATTTGCAGAGGTTTTGTGAAAAAAAAAAAAAAAACAGAGTCCTCTTCTTTCTCTTTCTCTTTTACTTCACATGCAGAAAGACTTTAATCGGCATCAGAGTAGTTTTTTGTTGGAGTGGCAGCCATAATCGAGTACGGACGATATCACAGAAAATATCTCTCTCCATCACCTGATTTTCCTGATCGTGTTCTTATCGTCTCAAAAACCAACTTTCTCCCTCTAGAACCGAAATAGAACAAACAAGAAACAGTCTTTAAATTCCGAACAAACTGTTTCATCCTTCTTTGCTAAATTTTTGGGTCACTATTTAATGAAGCAATTAAAATATATTATATTTTTTAAATTAAAAAAAAAAACATTTACAAAGTGGTGTTAAATTGAGAAATTACTTTTCCTACCCAGTCAAATCTTAATATTATATTATATTTTTATAAATATTTTTTTAGTATATGCTTTAATTTACAAATAAAAACAGTAATTTTTTAAAAACTTTTAAAGATTAAACAAGTTTCAAGTTATAAATTTGTATAATGACTACAATATTTTCTATGGTAACCCTTATGGATTCACTTTTGACAATAAACTTTGGTGATTTTTTTAGTAATATCGTATTTTATTAATCTTATTACCATTTAAACTTCTCATAAATATGTGATTTTTGTATTAAACTATATTGGTGAATATGATTGGAGTAATTTAATAAAATATTATTTTTAAAAAATAAAAATAATTTAATAAATTCGTAGCGCGACAAAAATAATAAAAAATACACGAAAATATCGTGAGTTTACTCGTTCTTCAACTACCGAAATATTATAATTTTTATTGCTTCGGTATCAGAGCAGTTATAAATAGATAAAATTTAATTATAGTTAAGATTTTATATGTTTGTGTTCTGATATTAACTATAGTTATAAATAAGTCACAAATTTAAAGTAAAAATATTAAAATTTTGATTTTTAATTGGTCAATGTTGTGCACCCATATTGATGAATATCGTCGAGAGTTCGGTGGAGCAGGGTGACTCTTTGATCTTTTGGTCGAGATCAACTCAAAAATGTATAAGCTGATCATATACTAACACGTTTACTAGATTTCTTTATTTTTCTCATTTTAATTATTTTTTTAGTAAAATTTTTCTTTAAAATATGTTAGATTTAGTTTTAGTATAAAAAAATTACAATTTTTATTTCATATTATTTGTTTTTTAACTATTTAAATTTAGTTTATTTTTCTTTCAAAAAAAATATCTTATCTAAAATTCGGTGTTATATTAATTATTTTTATGATTTTACACATATAATTTCAAATTTTAAATGTGAGTGTGCAAAATTTGAAAGTTGAATAAATTTAAGAAGCAAGAATTAAATAGTAAACATCGAAGTACTAAATTATCACGAAATATTATATGATTTATAATATTAGAATTATATTATGTAAGAAATGTAATTTAATTAAATATTTTGGGAAGGTGAATATTGTAATATATACACATACATATACATACACCTACACGTATTCATGCAAAGAGGAATGGGGTGGGTTTAGTTAAATTGCATGAAATAGTGGTTGGGGAAAGGCAAAAAATTTGCCCATGTGACTTTGATTAGCTAAAATGTCGTTGACAAATAGTGTTAAGTGTGAAATGTTTAACAATAATTTATTTATCGTAATAAAAAATTTAATTATTTTACTTGAACTTTATAATTTTTATTTAAAAAATGTATTTTATTAAAATAAAAAATTATGAATATTCTTAAAAATATTTAATAGGTGCTCTTAAGATTAAAAATAAAAATGTTAAAGTAAAAAATTTGATGATAACATCTCAACGTAGAGAATGATATCGAAAATTTATATTTATTTATAAATAAGATAACGGGTAGTATGATTATATAATTATATGTACATATAATATAATGGTAAAATTAAATTTTATTTTTTTAAAAAAATAATTATATTTCGATTTAATACCCAAATGATGTAAAGAGCACGGTGGAATCTCTAATGGGTTACCATAGTTGGGAATACAAAGACCAAATATTTTTGGTGAAAAAACAACATCAAGATTCAAAGAATCAAAAACCCAAAAGCCAAATTCACATAAAAATATAAAATAAAATAAAAGACACAATAATTGCATACACCAATTAAAAGTAAGATTCAAAAGAAATGTCACCAAGCACAAAAATAAATCAAATTATCCAAACGAGGCAAAAAAAAAAAAACCCCCCACAAAAGCTAGAGAAATAGACGAAGAAATAACAAAGTGTGGTGGTTGGTGAAAAATCAACATTGAAACCGACATAATGCATCAAACCCTAATTTAATGCACATGACCACACAACAATTTTGGTTGGCATTTAAAATTCCCACTAAATTTTTATTTTTATTATTATTTTTTTTAATAAGTAAGTTTGTCGGTAACCAAGTATTTATTTACCATAAGATTATATTTTTTAAATTTTAATTTATTTAAATTAATGATAAAAATTAATAGAAATTTCAAGATAAACCCATTGATATTTATAAGTTGTTTATTTATTAAAGACGTATAAAAAATGTGTGTGGAGTTACCGACTGTATCAAAGCTAAAAACAAGGGGGACCCCCTAAAAACTCATCGTTTTGGACCCCTCCCCCCCACCCCGCACGTGGCGACAACACAACTAATGACATTCAATTGCTATCCTACGCCGTGTGTACATGTTAACACCCAAAAGCTTTTTAAACCGATTGGTTAAAGAACAATAACAAAACAACCCCTCCCCAAAAAAAACGCTTTAAGCGGGTCGTACAGAGTTGACCCGCGGGCGACCTGGTTAATTTGCGAAGCACACGTGGCAAGATCAGGGTGGCTCTCGTTATTGGTTTCTTTTTATTATTATTATTATTATTTTTTTTTTTTCAAAAAAAATGAAGTCTCCTGATGATTGATGACGCGGTGGGACCCGTTGAAGGTGGTTGTGGTGATGATATGATGATGGGACGTTACAGAAGCACTGTGATGGATGGGCTGGATGGGGCCCACTTCTGTGACAGGCCCAGGAATCTCTGTCGTTATGTCCTCAGATACACAGGACAGAGTTCCCTCTTCGTTTGTCCGTTTCGGCTGAGTTGACCCGTTGACTCGGCCTGGTTCCCTCTTTCACTCGCTGCCACGTGGAGGGCTTTAAATTTTTTTTTTTTTTACATAATAATGATTTATTAGAAATTATAAAGTAATAATTAATAAAATTATAACTTTATATACCCATTCTCATTTATAACCATAATAATGAGAATGGGTTATAAATGTTATCTGCAAGAAAGGACACAACAGACATGCCAATTCTGCAGTCTATATAATCAGACACTAATACCAAATATTATATTGCAAAATTTTAATAATTCATAATTATTTCTTATTATTATTATTATTTTTATATAAATATTGCTTTCTTTTATTTTTTTTACTACTTTTTCAAAAACCATATTGAGAATTACTTAAAATAATATAGAATAAATCTTCAAATAGATAATGCAAATATAACAAAATTAAATGATTGGAGGTAAATTATTTATTACTTTTATAAATTTAAATTTATTTTAGGGATACTTTTTCAATATTGGTTCGATGATATTATATATATATATATATATATATATATAATATTTGGGGTTTTGTGAGTTGAACATTGTGTGGAAGTTTTTTTTAAGGTTACGAGCAAATGCTTTTGTAATATTTATTATAAGGGAGTTTGAAAATGATTATGCCCCCCAAATAATTCCATTATAGGAGGTGTCCTACAAGGGTTTCATATGGGTTTTGAGTGTGTGTATGAAACTTTGGAAAATTACAATGTGAAATCGATCAATAATAATATGGGTTTTGTCCATAAAGAATACAAATTATCATTGAGAAGAATTATGTTTGATAATTCAAGAAGAGAATATAATTAAAACATGAACAAATAATTGATTAGTCCAAAGAAAAAGAAAAAACATTTTTGCTGGATTTCAACTTTCTAATAACTTTTTCTACTAAGATGATTTGGGCCGAGTGATTCTAAACTCATGTTTAGGCACAATTCTAGTTTCAGCCCAACATGATTTGAGCTTCACCTTTGATGGGTTAGATCATGAATAAAAGGATTCTTTTTAAAAAAATTAATTGTTTTATAAGAAAAAATACACCTTCAACTCACAACCTCCATATATATAAAAAAAAAAAAAAAGTTTCTGAATTATATAATTTTTTTTAGAGAATGACGAAAATATCAACTATTCAACTAATAGGTAATTCGTATAAGTAAAAAGACTTGATCCCAGTTGATACGAAACCGCGGTTAGAACTCAATAGTTAACTTTGCCCTATACTTCCCTTGGTTGATTTACATTTAAACCTGCAATTAAACAAAAACTCATGTTATTTTTCTAGGTATAAGACAGATATATAGATGTCTTGAGTGAACCCGAAGGATCTCTGTCTCAATACTCCCACATTATCACCTATAATTTGCCTAGTAAAAAAACATAAATCAAACTTTCATTTGAAGGAACGAGAAACAAGAGTTGCAGACAAGCTTTGCTCGTCTCTCATCCATGCCTCAGGAGAGGATGTGAAGTCAAGCATGATATAAAGACAAGTCAGGCAGACTGCTGCACAGGACCCATGATTGTTTACCATAAAATTATTGGCTCTAAAAGAGCCCTACCTCATGAATTCTGTGTTGTTCTGACATCCTACGAGTGATTCTTTATTTTTGCAGTTTGAGCTAGCCTGCCGCTTGCCGCAAGGAAATTGTCTTGTGGGAGCCAAGAGAGCTTGCTAAGATTCAAACTTAATCGGAAGAGGGCGGCTCCATCTCTTCTCCCTGATTCTGAAAGGTAACAACCTACCCTGACAAGGAACTTTGCAACAAGAGTGCCCAAATTTGATAGCTACCTCGAAGCTGTCCGCTTTGTTGGTCCATCAAATTTGAGCTTCTTGTTGCCCTCAAAAAGCACACATTACCTTCTTCATGGTTCCAACAGATTTCTGAATCAAACACCTCATATCTTGGCCCATTCGGCACTTCTCCTACATTTCCTCTTTCTTACCACAATAACAAATCAACAATCAAAAACCTTATTTATCTTCTATTTTGTCTTCACGTGACACTAGACTCAGGTTCTGCGAGTTTCGGACAGTAGAAAGACTATCAAAGGATAAGAATCACGGAACTTAAAACATGAAGAAATGGTGTATGGTTGCAGCCAGGGTGCTTGCTCAGTAAGCATTAGCAAGAAATAAGGTCACTATTTTGTACATTGTCTTTTGCATCAAAATAAGCAAGCTTACAAAAATGATAAAAACAATGTAAGGCCTGAACTAATTTAGTTTTACCTCCACGGGCTTTGCCACATTTCAACCGATTGCTTTTCATCCTGCTACAAAGACGACGTAATAGAAGGCATTCTGATCATAGACAGATGTAACAAGTTCACATCTATACTTGGTACCTGATAATTATTTCACTAAGGAGAGATAAGAAAACTTTATAGTTAAGAATAAAAGAATAGGGTATTTGAACCTGACACTGTCCTGGACCTCCAGCTCCTAGTAATCAACTGGCCAAATATGTTACGCACACTGGAGGGCACATAAGATACCTAATCCTACTCTGAACATCTACTTCCTATCTGCTCCTACGAACAAACATTTTTTATCATCTAAAATACCTACTTGTACAAGAAGACAGACAAAAAAACAAGACATATTACGGGGAGAAAAACTGATGGAGAACAAGAAAGCTCTCCTCCACTAAAGCTCCTCTTCTAATAATAATCCAGCAGACACGAACCATGTGAGTTTTCTGGTGTCACAGTGTATGTCACAGACTTAGAGGGTAACTGCTCAGTCTTCTTTCTCATCTCTATCACCTTTTTGTGAGAGTTTGAGTGCAAGGATGGAACAAAGGTAGGACTGGCAGCTGGACGATACTCTGGAAGGAGACGCCCAGACCTGTACCGAACCCCACATGCATTGCAAAGAGTCTTTGGCCCCATTGGCCCTTCCCTCCATTGTGGGGTCTTAGTCACCTCACAGTGCATGCATTTTCTAGTTGGGACAGACTGGTCTGGCAGGGATTTCTTAGTCTCACCAGAGCCTGAGAGGAGTGTCAGATTCCTTTTCTTTTTCTGCTTCTTCTTGGACGATTTCTCAGCCAGACAGCTTTCTGATTCTGATTCAACAGTAGCATGAGATTCTCCAGAAGCAGTCACAGAAGAGATGAAACGAAATGTGGATTGCAGGTAGGAGGCTGAGGGGCGTCTACGCTTGCTTCGAGTACGCTTCACTGGGATGCTAAGTTTAGTGTTTAAGGATGCAGGATTTTCGGCTGAGGAAGAACTGCTATTTTCAAGGACAGAAACTGGACTGGAGGTTTGAAGCAGCCGTGAATCTTTGCCATTAGTAGACTTGTGGATAAAAATACTTCTGCTGGAGGGAGCTCCATAAGTGCTTGGGTGTTGTTTCACCTCAGAAGTACCGCTGTACTGAAACTGAGATTAATATGTAATTCAACAAAGGTCAGATGAGAGGACAAGATTTTAATTTAAGTACATCATTTTTGAGATAATGGACAAATAACCACAGCGCTAGTTAAAAAACTGAAGACAAGATACGGGAGGCAATCTACCAATATGCTTTTATTTCCAACAAAGAGAGAATGGCACCATACCGCTCAACAAAAAGACAGATTAGCAAAGTACCAAATGTTAGTAAAGATTGCCAACCATGTGAAAGATTAAAAAATATACTCAAAAATGGCCTAGTTCCATGGAAGGTTGCTTTGAGGAAAAGTAATAACTAAGTTCAAATAAAAAAGTCTTTGTAACAATTTCTAATGCAACAACTGATTTTATGGTTCTTGAGGGCAGAGAGTTTAAACAAACTTCTGAATATCTCACAATTAAGGATAAAAAATAAGGTGATACAATCTGGACACCCATGAATAGACATGTGATTAACAGAATAGGGCAAGGAACATCTAGTATAAAGCAGTTAAGATAGATAAAATCAGCAATATAATCATAATATGATCGATAGCGGAGTATCTGTTAACTACCTGAACCAAAGAACATATACTCAAAAAAAAAAAAAAAAAAAAAACGCCAACACCTGTATGTTTTAATATAGAGAAGATCATCTAAATCTAACGTGCTTCCGTATAGCTTTGTCTGATCATTTCAGCAGACTTGCTTCCTCATGTTGCAGATACAAAAAAATATATATATATATATAATAGACATATTATATCTCCAAAAAGTCAGAATTTGAAGGGCAACCAAATTTGTCTCAATCTCAGTCTTTAAGTGTTATTTTCTCTTTATCTTTTGCACCAACACTAGTATGTGTTTTAGCAAAAGTCTCAACCACACATTTCTTTTACTTAACAAGCATCAGTGGTCCATATGCAATAAACACAGTTATAGCTATACTCCATGCACTGTAGTGCACACATGTGAATTCATCCCATAAGAAGAGGAAGATAACCGTGATATAGGTCACTTTACATATAACCAGGCACAGAACATTCTGTATCTCTTTTGCCTGCCCAAACTGAGTGAGTTGACTTTAAGCACGTGACATGAAGGATGACAAGCATTCAGAAAAAATAATTTTCAGATGATAATTATCGCCAGTCATCGATTACCTAATATGCATGTAAAGTAACTAAAGCAAACCTATGGTAAGATAATACCAAGGCATAGCCAATTATCAAGGCTACCAAACAAGAAAACGCACCGGCATAGGGCGGCTCTGCTGAACTCCCACATTCTGTTTGCAAGTATTATCAGATAAATCAGATGATAAACCTGCCAAGACATTAGCAGGGGGTGGCTCAAGGTTTTGAAAGCCAGCATCCCAATCTTCTCCATTGTTCAACTCCACATCTTCTAATGGAAAGTCAAAACACTTGACGACATCATCAAAGAAGTCATCAGAGAGGCCATTGAAGTTTTCGTCAAAAAACCACGAACTATTCATATTAATTCTGTTTGCAAATGTCAAAACACGAAAGAACAAACAAAGAAGACAAAGTTAATTCAAAAATTGGATATTCTTTAGTATGAAAATACAAACTAGACACAAGTTAAATTATACCATGAAAAATAGATAAAACCGCGTCAAAGTTAATAATGAAAATGTTATCTCAATGATTGGATTATTACCTAATTTACTTTCCTTAACCCACTAGAATTACCCAAAGTAATTGACAGCAAGATCTTAGAAATAATAGCTTCCCAGTCAAAACCTTCAAAAACCATATACGAGCTAATGAAGGACTCTCAAAATCACAGGATATTCTCATTCTACTGAGTTAATTACCAGTTTCCAGGTTACAGATGAAAAAAAATATTACCAGGTAACAACGTGAGAGGTAAAAAAAAAGGCAATGTTCTTTTCCATGCTATAGTTGACTACCCTCCCTAAGTTCCAACCAATAAGGGTTGGCTTCTCAGACCGAAAAAATAATTAAATAATAAGATAAAATCTAAAGACATGTTTGGTTACCGAGAAAACGTATGGAAATGACGAAAAAACACAAAAACCAAACACTGAGAACCCATGGAAAATCAAACTGATTCTATTGAAGAAAACACAGTCGAGACACAGTTAGGGAAGGCATCTTTCTAGCACTCTTTTCTTTTCCCCCTACGTTTGTTACAAATCCCACACAAAAAAAAATAAATTACCACGACATTTGAGAAATTTCCTTCTCTTTCCGTCCTATTATTCTTCCTCTTATCTTCTCGACAACCAAACACGAAACGAAACAAACGCAATGCAGCAACCAGATACAACACAAACCGAAAATCTACTTCCAGAAAGACGATAGCAACAGAAACGCAGAGCAAAATTTTGAAAATGAGAATCAGAAAACCGTTCAAATGGTAGAAAATCAAACCAGAAAGGGTACATTCCACAAACCCTAGAGAGAGAGAGAGAGAGAGAAAGAGAGAAGAAGGGAGATATATATATATATATAGAGAGAGAGAGAGAGCGCAGTGCATGTTACCTTTGGTGCAACTCACTGAGCGCATTCTCCGGGTGAGAAGGGAGAGAGAGAGAGAAAAGGAGATTCCCTTTGAATCTCTCCTTGTCTGAGATTAGGCTTATTAGGGATTGTTGTTTGTGTGGAAGCGTAAGAACGAAATGGAGAAAGAGAAGGAGAGATATATTACTGTGCGAGCGAGCACATGGAGTACTCGTGAGGATCCGTACTAATCAGACGACACGTGGCATTAAACCGTGTAGATTGAATTATTTTTAAAAAGTTTTGGTACCAAAAACAAGCAACTCTTTTTATTTTGTTCACATGGGGAAACCTTTATTTATTTATTATTTTTTTTGAACTGTACTCTACTTGTACACTTGCGTACTATGATTTCAACATGCTTTTTAACTTTAACCAATAGAAATTTTGTTTGTTCTTAATTAATTTACACCAATTATTAATTTCTTAAATAATATTAAATATTATATTTATACATACACTAACATTTAAATTTATTTTGTTTAATTTTATTTTATTTAAAAAATTATACCACTTATCTTTATTTTATAAAACTTAATAATGTCCCTTATTATATACATATATATATATATATATGTATGTACTAATAGTCACATTTATGAATTTAATACTATAATCTAAATTATTTATCAACTAAAAATGTAAAAATGAATGTGTCAAATAATAAGAGTAATTATTATGTTGTATATCACATTATATATAACAAAAAATGTAAATAAATAATGCAAAACTTTTAATTGTTTCAACACTAAGCAATTATTTTATATGACATTTTTAGTAATTTTTTTTTTTTACTTTATGTTATAATGACAAAAAATAATTCTTTATTATAATATTTAATAAAATATAAAGTTACATAATAAAAGTATTATAAAATTATAATAGATAAAACAAATAAAATAAGATGTACGTATATAAATAATTAATATAAAGAGTAATTAAAATTAAAAATAATAATTCACAGTATTATGGTTAATTAATAGTGAGGTGTTTACTGAATGGTATGTTTGACATGTGAAAATTTTATTAAAAAATTAATTTTTTTTAATTATAAAAAGAAACCTTAAATAATAATAATATCACTATTTTTATTATATAAAATAATTATTGATTGAATCTATAATTGCATGGAAAATAAAAAAAAATCAAACGAAATCAAGATCTAGATCTATTTTGATTCTTAATAATTCATGGTTTATATTTCCTTCCAAACAAAATAATTATCGTAATTTATACTTACACATATTGATATTATCCTTTTTATAATTATATATATATATATACACAATATATGTGATTTAATATCCAAATAATTTGGTCATGACAAAAAGGAAAATACTCACATGAGAAAAATCATATTTTATATGATAGAAACGTGAAGGAGACCCTTGAAGTTAATCAATTGCAATTTGCAATTAATAATATCTTATTTATTAAATTATTTTTATTAAAAATTATAAATGTCCGAAATTTAAATGAAAATAAAATCATAAATTAAATATAGAAACGAAATAATAGAGTTAAGATTTACATTGCTTATATAATATTTTAGAATGAACAATAGGGTTACGGAAATGTCCATTATAAATGACAAATGAAAATCAAATAAATAAACGAAAGACAAATAACTAAGCAATCTTATAATGACTTTCACTAGCTCTTAAAAGGAGTATGGGTGATAAACTATTTGTAACCCCTTTATTGATTGGGATATAAATCTTAGTTATCTTAATCTGAAATAGTTAATGAAATGGTGACTTACACTAACCCAGTAAAAATATCACCACTGGTTACATATACAGAAAACTGAATATTGGTAAAAATTAGAAAAACAATCAATTGAACCCTTAATTTAATGTAAATTCAATTATTATAAAGAAAGTCATTTATTTCATATTTGTATA